GATGCCATGTTAAGCTAAGAGTCCAAGTTGTATTTAATTAATAATTCATTTGCCATTTTTCATTAATCAAAATATGTAATGAGGATATAGTAAAAGGTATAGCAACTGCAAATAGCCATTTTGAAAGGCTGAGATTTGCTGCTTTGGTTAGCCTGTACAGTGTTATAATGTGAATACAGAATTTCCATTATAATTTTGGAGTGATTACATATATTTCTTAGTCCTCCACTATTATCTTCAAAGCTCTAGCACTTTGCGATTCTCTCTGGTCCTGTCCTGGGCATCAGTGGTCTAAATATGGGACACATCTATTATCCCAAAATGAAAATTAAGAACCAGGAAGAATGCCTCCAGAATTCTCTGAGCCAGTCTTTGGAATAACAGATCAAAATAGCTGCCTGGACCAATCTTGGGGGAAATGATGGTGACTTCCAAAGAAGCTGTAGTTGTCTACTCTCTGGCACTTGTTTCTGATTAAGTTTAAGATTTAATGGCACAACTGTGACCTCAGGGAATCTATCTCATTGGAAAGTAACTAAAGTTTCTACAGCTGCAAAACTAAGATTGCTATTAACTACTTGATGATTATTTTAATAATTTCTAATCATAGAGCTTACATAGTATTCACTTTTTTTTTTTTTATTAAGCATGAGTTGGTTTAAATACCACCTGAAAGTTACAGTACTTTTGAACTCTTGAAAGTTCATACCTCTGAACTCTTTCAGCACTGAAATTCATTAAATTGGTTTATGGAACAATCATCCGTATTATAGCCTGTTCTTCTATAGTTAAGAGTTCAATGCCAGATTTTGACAATATTTATTTAAATTTTTAAAAGTATTAACCTGGGGGCACCTGGATGGCTTAGTCAGTAGAGTATCTGACTCTTGATCCCCGGGTTGTGAGTTCAAGCCCCACATTGGGTATGGAGCCTACTTAAAACAAACAAAACTGTGTGTGTGTGTGTGTGTGTGTGTGTGTGTGTGTGTGTGTGTGTGTGTG